CTTCGATCCATTTCAGCTCTGTTGCTTGCTGCTCTGTGAGGCCTGCCTCTCCTCTGTGGGGATCTTGTAGGCGCTGGCCCCCAGAGGACAGAAGGGATGGGCTTCTCCCCACTGTTGGAATTCTTTGCAGTGAGCACAATGAGCCTGCCCTCCTTGGCCCTGAGCTGAGCCAGGCTGCCCAGAAAGTATCAGGCAGGGACTCAGATTGCAGAGATACAAGGTGACACAGACACTCTGCCAGCCACAGGAATCCAGGCCAAGAATAGACAGAGCTTATACCAAGCATGCACCATAATTGCTAGGTATCTGAAAGCTAACTGCTCCAGGTACAACACCGCTCTGAGTTGCTAATTCCAAAGCCTCAATAGAAGGAACTCAGACAGCACCATTGAGTTTTAAAGGAAAACCTCTTCAAACCTGCTCGTCTTATCCCTCTGTCACCGGGGCAGCTCTAACAAGTTACCACCTTTGACCTCTTTGCATTTCACTTTGCTTATCTGAAAGCTGGTGTCAGCAAAGCCCACCTTGCAAGAGTGTCCTGGGGCTGGGATGAAACCGCCCGTGCGCCCTGCCCTCCACTGGGCGCTCAGGAAAGGGAGCTCTTTTTATAGGGATTTCACCAACCCACTGACCAGTGCAGTTCCAGGCATGAAACACACCCACCACGGAAGGAAGAAGTTCTTTTGGCACTTTACTGGATTCCCTGTGGATGAAGCAAGAGTCGGCTTGTTCTCTAAGAATTTTGCATTCAATTCAGATAGATGCCAAATCCATGAAGAACCTGATTTTGTGGTGAGAACCCAAAGTGGAAGGAAGTCAGACTCAAACCAATTCGGGTTTTCAGGGCACCTGGAGCAAACAAACCACTCACGGGCCAGGCGGGAGGTGGCTGGTCCTCCGGCCAGCTGCACATTGGCATCGCCGGGGGAGTTTTTTCGAGCCTCATTCTAAATCAACTCCCCCGGAATCGCTGCTGGGTGCAGTCCAGGCTTCACTTTTTTTTTTTTTTTAATATTTATTTGTGCATGCAGAAGTGGGGTGCAGGCCAGAGGTGCAGGGGCAGTGAGAGGCTTCACCAGAGGCAGAGTGGGGAGCAGAACAGGCCAACTGATGAACTACACTGCTGAGGGGAGCAGTGGATGGGTCAGGCGAGGTCTGCCGCACCATGTGGGTCACCTCCAGGGTGGGGATCAAACTCATGCTGAAGTGGCTTTAGCTTCTTCGTGCTGAGCTTTAGCCTGCTGCACCACCAGGGAGGGCCCAGGTTTCACACACTTAAGAGCTTCCTGGTTGGTTCTAAAGTGAGATCCACTGGGTCAGAAAGTCTCTGAAGTCCCTCCAGGTGCCCTGGTGTGGAATCCTACAGGCAAGACTCAGTAGACAAGTAGCAATTTGTGGAATAGACTCACCATTTTTTCCTTACTCTTTCTGATACTTACCACCTATGAGGTAAGAGAAGAGATGAAAAAGAACCAGATTCCAAGTGAAAACTCTGAACCCCAAACAGCCTAATGGAAATTTCTGCTGATGATAGAATGTTCCATAATCTGCTGCTCAGCAGCTTCCCCCACCTGTTACCTCACAGGGCTATCTGCGCCTGAGCACCTCCGTGACCCTCTTACTAACAGCACCCTATTTTCATTTAGAGCAGTCCTCTAGCCCCACTGCCTGCCATCTACTGGGGGGCATCAAGGACGTTGCCCCACACCCCTCTACCCAAGAGTTGGGCCCAGGGCCCAAGCTAAGCCAACCAGACTCCCTTTGCCTGGAATATGAGAAATTAGTGTCACAAGAATAAAAAGTGAGTTGCAGCAGACGCCATAACAATGCTGATACTTTAAGACACTCTCAGAACATTAGTCCAGAGCGTGATGATACCAAGCGATGTGTGAGCTGCCACCTCTGTCGGCCCCTCTCTGTCACCATGAGGGTGGGTGTTTCGAGCCGCATGCATGGCACAGCCACTGTAGCTCCTGGCTGAGACGCTTGAGTTGTCTGGCTTCTTTGTCATTTTTTCATCTGAAAGTGAGAATTAAATTCATCTAACTTCTTCCTAAATTTTGGTGAAGATCGATAATGATCCTAAGAGCTTTCAGGCAAATAAAGTATCTTTTAGGGTGTTCCCTGGGTTAGGTGTGGAGCGTTTGCTGCAAAATCAACCCTGGGTCTAGGTCCAGGTCAGAAGCTGTGTGACTCTGGGTGAAGCACTTGCCTTATCTGGCTGTTGGCTAAAATTAGACCCATTTAGACACCTCTCCCTCTTTTTTCTTTTTTAACAAGTTTCGTCATTTTCTAATCTATTTGTAAATAGATTTGCCCCCAGCTTTGCCTGGGACATACCCTTCCCAATTCTATGAATGCAGGCCAGACATTTCTCTGGTCTGCTGCCTACTCATTTTTCTTTTCCAGCTCCCCGCCTGATGGGGAATCACCCTGCTGCTCACTCCCAGGTCTTCCTGCACAGAGTCTCTGCAGAGCACCCTACTGAAGCTGACCCACCTCCACTGCGAGCCACAGGCCCTACCAGGGCAAAGCTACATCCCTCTTGTCCAGGATTGTATCCCCTGAGCCTAGTACAGGGCCAGGAACATAGATGATGCTCATTACCTAACTACTGTTTGAATGAATCCACCAAACCTACTTCAGTCACTTCAGGAAACCCACAGAATTAATGACTTAATATCACATCAACAAATTACCTCCAGACTTGCTGTTTAAAACAACGATGATCATTTCTTATCTCTCCATTTCTATAGGAGAGAAATTCGGACAGGACACGGCAAGGCTGGCTACCTCTGCTCCACGTCCAGGTCCTCGTTCACCACCTACCTGGTGATTGTGCTAGCTGGAGAGTCAGAACACCTAACACGGCCTCTCTGTGCAGTCTGGGCATATCCTCCCAACATGGTGGCTGGTTTCAAGGTAGATGTTCTGGGAGTAAGTGAGAGAAAGGAAAAAAGTCTCCTTTCTCGGACCTACCTATGCTTAAGAGTTACATATGTCAATTCTCCCACATTCTGTTCTTTGGAAGCCAGTCACAAGTCCAGCCTACAATCAAAAGGGGGTGGGGGGCGGAGGAGGGGGAAGGTTCTACACAGTTAGCTAGCACAAGAGGCTACGTGTCTGAAAAAGATTGCAAGTCAAATTCTAGCTCTAGCTCCACTGCTGCTTAGTTAGCTGTGTGGACTTGGGGAAACGGCTCCATTTCAGCATCTATACAGTGAGTAGGTTTTCCAAGCTTGGAGTCTTCTTGGCTCAGTGAGCCTGGGAGGGGCCCCTCTTAATGAATTCTGCTCAAGTCCTGCAGCCCTACTCTTCACTGACCACCCCTATAGCCAGCCAGAGTTTACTACTGGACTTCCAGCAACCTAAGAAGTTCAGACACAAGGGATGGCTTTCAGGGAACCACTGGTCTTCTCCCAGGTCTCCTTTGTCCCTGTCCAGGTGCAGAAATGGTTCCTCAGTGAAGGGAAAGGTCAGAAATGAGACAATCACTGGCCTGAAGAATCCCAACATCTCGCTCAGACCCAGGAATCTGCATTTTAGTCCTCCACACTCCCCTGTCCCTACACACATCACCTTAATTCCTGCTGGGAAAGAGGAGTCTACACGCTTCCCCATCCTCCCTACGGGTCTCATTTTAGTAAAGGTGTTCACTGCCCCTGCCTTTCTGGCTATTGCTCTGAGGAACCCTGGAGGGAAGGCGCTTGGGTCTCTGCAGCCCCGGGGCCTGCACCCAAACCAGCTGCACTTTCACCTTCTCCTGGGTCAGCTGACCCGAATCAACCCAGCATCTCTCACTCCTGTAGATGGTGATCCCAGATCCTCAGTGGCAGCACCCCTATTCCCTGGCAGGCAGGAGCTGGGGTCCCTAGAGGGGGGATCCAGGCAGACAGACTAGGGGTGAACCCTGAGCACCCTCTGGCGCGTGGTCATGGGGTGGAATAGGGTGTCTTTGAATTTTCACTTTATCTATAGTGACCCTAATTCCCAGATGCTGGCCCTTGAGAAAGGGGCTCTTTCATGACTCATGACCCCCAAGTGTGACACCTTCAGCTGGTAGAGGAGGAAACTGAGGCCCAGAAGGGACATGCGTGCTCAGTTGGATGTCCCAAAGGTAACAGACACTGGGTTCTGTCTAGATCCCCGGACCTCCACTTCAAGCTCTGGTTTCTACACCCTGGGGCCCCTGCAAGGTACCAGAGCAAAGAAATCCCAGACCACAGGCCTCAGAGCCAGGAATCTCCCTGAAGTCTGAGCTCAGCTGGGCACGTTGGGACTTCCTCCCGGCAGTCCCACACACGCTTGGTCACTTCAGGCGGGAGGGCTGGGCTGGAAGGGGAAGGAGGTGTGTGAGGAGGGGGGCGAGCGCTCCCAGGCACCCGCCGGCTAACTGGGAGCGAAGGATGGCCGCCCCACGCGGAGGGCCTGGCGGGAACGCGCTGGCCCTTTAAGGGGGGGACGGAGCGCATGCGCGGCGCGGGCCGGAGTCAAGCCGGGTGGGCGACAGCCGGGTTGGGGACTCGGCTGCTGGCTGCTGGGTCCTGGGGCCGCGGGGGCGGCGGTGGCCAGGGCTTCTCCGAGCAGCGCACCCACGACCGGCGCGTGGACCCCGCGCTCGCGGGCTGCTCTCTGGGGACTAGCGCAGCCCGCGCTCGCCAAGGCTTTGTCACTTGCTTCCAGCTTCTTCCGCGGGCCGTGACAAGCGAGCCTCCGGGCTAGCCCTCCCCGCCCCGCCGTCCTGCCTCCACCCCTTCGCGCAGCAGCGGGAGCCGGAGTGGACATTCGCCGAGCATCTTTCGCCCGCCCCGGCCGCGCCACCGCCCATGCTGCAGCCAGTCCGGAGCGGCG